GCTAGGTGGCTAGTTGTCCCAGAAAACCATGCCCTCAAAATCAGGTGCTCTCTGATGTGTATATACCCAAACAGCAACAGGTCTCCCCAGCTCAGGTTTCAAGACACAGCGGTTCTCTCTGTGGCTCAGGCTCTTGCTTTGGTCCTCATATGCTCTGTGCAGACAAGCACAGCACAAATCTGCATGCACTGGCTTCCCCACACAGTCTTTCCCTGATCTTTGCAAGATGTCCTGGGAAAAACCTGCTCTCTCTTCCTCTGTATGCAGGGAATATTGGGTACCAAAGTCCACAGCCCATTATCCTCCATTCACTTGCATTGAGCTGTGTTTCTTGGGGACTACATGTCCCAGTGTCCTTTGAGCACTGTTGTGTCACCCTCCCCTGACTGGATTGAATCTGCTACTGCCAGGAAGGAGGGGGAGAAGTGGGCCCGAGCAGGGGATTCGGAGAGAGCTGGTCCAGCAACACAACAGTGGTGAGAAAAGAAGGACATGCTGCCTGGAGCTCCTCGTACACAGCATTACACTAGCAGGATGAATATGAAAGCAGTAAGGCACACACAGCCAGAAGCACACCCGCATATACGTATGAATACCTCATATTTCAACTTTCAGACAAAGTAGAATCTGTTTGCCATCATGTTCCCTGAGTAATTTACTTGTGTGTGCTTAATAGCCTGTGTAGTTTGATCTACTGCTTTGCAGGTCTATTTGCAAGACATACACATCTAAATGACTAAAGTGAGCTATACACTAGTAGAATTATGGTAACTTTTTTTGTTTTAGGAACATTTGTTAGATTTCCTAATTGTTAGTGGGTCAACATTTTGTTTTTAGTCACAATGAAAAGAAAGAGCAGGATGGAAATTTTTACTTGATTGAATGATTTTCTGACAGTGAATGTGATTCTCACTGGGAAAGTACATTTATTCCAATATCAAATGTTAAAACAAAATTGTCAAGTACTTTCAAACGACATTCCAGTGGATATCCAGTCATCAAATTTTGGAATCATTTTTATATGAATGTTCGCTTGAAAAGCTACTAGCATACAGCCAGCTTAAGAGGAGGAATATCCATGAAAGATTTCTGATGATTGATGCTTACTTTATTCAACTAACACTGGTGTCCACCTATTGGGTGCAAGGCACATTATGGACCCTTTTTATACTTATGCATACAATACCATAGTGTGTATTTTGTTTTAATATTTTTTCACCTAGTGTTAGGCTAACCTGTACAATTGTCATATCATACAGTGACAGGCAACAATATACAAATCTTTTTTTAAGGAAAAAAGCTTTGCAGATAATGTCAGCAAAAACAGCAAATCTGTCATTCTTGTTTCTGATCAATATTACCATAGAGCAGCCTTTCTCAACCTTTTCAACATAGGGAAACCCTTGAAATACCTTTCCGGTCTCAGGAAACCCCTGCTAAAAACGACTACATCTAAAACTCTTGATACATTAGTGTGATGGTCAGTGAGAAGAATGCTCCTTACATGTATGGTCATTGGGCAGAACATTCCCCTTACAGATAGCTAAAAATATAATTGGTGTCAGTGGGAAGTTATCAGAGAGGCAAACATTGCTCATTGCTCAAGGAACCCCGAGGAACCACTAGAGGAACTCTAGGGTTCCATGGAATGTTGATTGAGAAACCCTGGCATAGAGTTTTAGAAAGGACTGCATGTTGTCAGGTTACAGAATATGTCACCTATACTATCATAGGTTAAGTAATAACAGCAAAGTAAGACAAAAGAAAATAAAAGTGTGGAATAGCTTGCATGGTCCTTCGCTGCTAATAATTTCTTGCGGTTGCTGTAATGAACGTAGTACAGGTCAGGCAGAAGTAGAGCTCTTCTTGTCCCCCATGCTAGACACCACAAATGCGCTCCCAGTCGTGTGTATCTTTAATTATTGTTATTGAATGCATTATGCAAATGTTTGCCCATTTGATACGCTCTTTTTATAAATTTGTATGAAGTCAATGAGAGACACATAATAGAGATCTTCTATGTTGCTTTTAAAAAAACACACAAAACAGAAAAAAACTAATGTATGTGTGCTGTAATCCATGATTTCAATGACCCTGCTTAATCTGCATACACACAATAAAATGCAGCATTTACTGTGGTTAAAAATGCAATAACCTGCAATGTATACATGTAAAGCATTCACATAATGAATGGGATCTATACTTGACATGCATTTTCCTTCAGTAAAATGCATGTGTTAAAACTGCGGGAAAGACAAGTTATACATAATGAGCTTTGCTTTCAGGGATAAAGAATCATTTATAGTAAATGTTTCTGCTGCAAAGATCACTGAAAGAAGCATGACCATGTAAAATATAGATAGAATATACACATAATATGCATATATGTATATCTTATAGATCAATTGGTTTTATCAAAGAGAAGGATTAGGCATGTTTGATTTTAAATTTAGGAAAATATTTAATTATTTTTACTCTAGGCATTGTTACATATCTCAATAAAAGCCAATAGTGTTAGCAAGTGACTGCAGACATAATTCTCTAAAGCACACAACATTAAATATGTAGAACCTAGGAAGTGTGTGTGTGTATGTCTATAAAGAGGCAGATCAGGCATATTAACATTTGCTGGCTTTTAAACTACATGGTGATGCTCCAGTGTCACACAGAAATCGGCTTCAGGGTGTTTGTAATTTAAAAATACTATTTTTAACAAACAATATATAGGTATCTGATCTATAAAAACTAAGCGAATATAAAAATACTGTAAATATAAATCACTATTTCTACCCAATTACTTTTAAGCACACTTCACCTCTACCCTTAGAGGTGCACAAATATAAACATAAATATGCTCAGTGAAAAATTAAAAAAAACCCCTTCATTAAATTATAACCATAATAATTTCAAATTAAAGTCCAAAATAAAAAATTAAAAACCAAAACGTCCAAAAATATATATATCCAATATCCCTTTTTAAAATAAAAAATAAATAAGTACGTGTTGTCCAAAATTGATTCAAGGGTAAAAACTCTCAGCCGCTTGCAAAAACTTGATTACCTCAAAAAAAACAAAAATATACATAGTGCATTATCCTTTATAAATCAAAAATTACATGTGAAATCACTCCAATAATAATCACCCAAGTGAGAAACAGGTGTGTATATCAAACCACATACACATGCAATATACAGTGCAAAACCGTGTATGTGAAACATTCTACTGTGCTCAAAAACTCACAACACAGTGTACACTTCTATTAAGGTAAGGAGTGAATACCCTTACCAATATTCAAAATAATTTTTGCTTTGATCTCGATCCCCAGAAATTGCACGATGAAATAAATCCTCCTGCAGATGTCCGCAGGGTTTACTTTCATCCCATAGCACTGTATGGATCCTTCCACCCTAGCACCTCAGATATGTTTCCACCATATACGCCATTCAGATACCCATATATAAGGAACAGATCATAGTGTAATACTGCCACATACTAAGATCCAAACTTTTAATAGTACTGCTTACATTAGAAACATCTTTCAATCGCATAGAACATATAAAAACCTTTCTGCCATCCAGGATCCAGGAGAGTCCTAATCGCAAGTAACAGCCGATTTTTGCCCTCTCCAAGATGGCCGCCGCTCCACTTCCGTTTTTTCGTATGCGTCTGACGTCACTTCCCTTTGACGCGTTTCGTCCCTTTATGATTATGTCCAATGACGAAACGCGTCAAAGGGAAGTGACGTCAGACGCATATGCAAAACTGCAGCTACATGAGATTATGAGGCTATTAGAGTGCCCATGGAAGTATGTTTGTTCCTGGTGCTAAAAGACCACTGCTGTTCATTTCAGTTCAGGAGTTTTGCAACTGAGAAGAACTAACAGTAGCAGCACTTTCCCCCAGTGTCACAAAGCTCAAAATGATCTCCTACTTTAAAGCACCCATAGTATCCCTGAACGCATTACCCATTCCTGAAAACAAGCCCTCAACAACTTAACTCCAACACTTAATATGTGACCCTTAGCCTAGACCAGTACACTCAGCCATTAACCTAATCTTAACATCAAAACCTCACCCTAAATGTAACTGTTAATTAAAGCTTAAAGGAACCTCAGAACTCTTAGCTATCCCCAAAAATTGAGTACCTCCACACTCAAATCTCTCTTAATAGCTTTTGGTTAAAGTATATGTAAACCTTGTAAAACAACCCATTCAATTTAAAATAGAAACTAAAGGCAAAACATTTGCTTATAGATATTAAAAACATTATAAACACATTTTTCCCCCTTTTTCTAAGTTATAATTTACCCTCTGTTCACAGCTACATAAGAAGCAGGGGAGGAGAAGTAGCAGCACACTGATCTTCCCAGTGAATGGCTATGTAGGGTGTGGGGGGGGGGAAGATAAGTATCAGGGCAAGTCTGATCATTAGAGGAGAGCAGGCTGAGTTCTAGCACTGTCAGAAAATTGACCACGCTGTGCACTTAATTTATTCTTTCAGCTGTCAGCTGTAGAGCAAACCCAAAAAGGTACAACACAAGTCACACCATGAAATACAGAAAGTCATATTAACTTTTGTTTCAAAGTCTGTCAGCAGTTGTGGAAAATAGAGTTGGCTATACATGGCTCATATCCCTGCTTAATTGGGTAAAAGTCAAGCTGTGGGTGTCCCTGTTGGCACCACCCACCTCAACAAAAGTTGATTGTTCAGTCAGCTTTTCTTGAAGTAGTAGAGTGGAAAATTGTCAACCAAACAATAACTGAATCCAATCAAATGCAGTTGCTGTTCAGATATTCACCAGCTAACTGCTAAATACAACAGCCAGCAGGGGAAATGCCCTTATCCATACTGTTTGGTGTAGATGAGAGAATCAACTGATTTCTCTCATTCAGCACACATCATCTAGTAGTTATGTGTGTTGAGGAGCTGTGAAACAATCATATCTGTGTCATATAGCAAGTTGTTTCACAGAAGTCTTAATAAATTATTCTTTTTGTAGACACAGAAAAGTCTCAACAAAACCAAACAGATGACTCCAATCCTGAAGATGGATCACTTAAGAAGAAACAAAGGAGGCAGAGGACACATTTTACCAGTCAACAACTCCAAGAGCTTGAGGCCACCTTCCAGAGGAACCGTTACCCAGACATGAGCACCAGGGAGGAAATCGCAGTGTGGACCAACCTCACGGAGGCCAGAGTTAGGGTGAGATGCAAAATTATTATTAATTGTTAGTAGTACAAATGTGGTCACTTAAACTATTTCCTCATTATTCTGTCGGGCCAAAGTCTTGTTGAACATTAAGCAGGGTATTGAGGAAAGATTTTACAATAATGCAAAACAAAAATGTTGTTTTTGGCTCATGTATTTCCTTTCTGATAGCAAAGAGGACAAATCTTACACTTGCTGAACTGTATTCTATACTTTGTATATTTTTAGTAATTCAGTAGATATACAGTTCTATGAGTTGATTCAATAAAATGGTACAAGAAATAGTTAAATGCCCACAACAACTAATTATAATCTATATAATGGTCTAGCTTCAGTAAAGTCAAACCTGATGGATGCAACTACCTGCATTGTTTATTGAATAAGTTCACCAGTCTAATGCTGTGATTCACAGGCTATGGAAAAGTTTCCCAACATGCACAAAGCATAGTATAGTGGGTTAAAGTTAGGTGAAAACAAAGCTGAGATTACAAATAAATGTCTAAAGTTTCATAACTGTTTAAACCTTGAGATAACACATAAGTGTGAAAATATTACTATACTAAATTGACTGGATGATATTTAGATCTTGATGTTTAGATCCGATCAGTAGGGTACAATGCTCTTTAGACTTATGCTTCGTACTTTATAGATTGATATTGGCAACATCTGTACATTTTTCTAAATATTCTCAAACATCTTACCTAATGTAATTGCATATTGATTTATAATGGTGTCGCCACTATTTTCTTCGGTATGACAAAACAATCATTTTTTTTTTTTTTAGGTATGGTTCAAGAACCGGAGAGCCAAGTGGAGAAAACGAGAACGAAATCAGCAAGCTGAACTTTGCAAGAATAGCTTTGGAGCCCAATTTAATGGACTTATGCAGCCCTATGATGACATGTACTCTGGATACTCTTATAACAACTGGGCTACCAAAAGTCTTGCAACTAGTCCCCTCTCTGCTAAAAGCTTTCCATTTTTTAACTCCATGAATGTAAGTCCTTTGTCCTCCCAACCAATGTTCTCTCCACCCAACTCGATAGCCTCTATGACCATGCCTTCTTCTATGGTTCCATCAGCAGTGACTGGAGTTCCAGGCTCTAGCCTTAATAATTTGGGGAATATCAACAACCTTAACAGCCCCGGTCTCAATTCTGCTGTCTCAGCCAGTGCCTGCCCCTATGCCTCTTCAGCGAGTCCCTACATGTACAGGGACACATGCAACTCAAGCCTTGCAAGTTTAAGGCTGAAAGCTAAACAACATGCTAACTTCACGTACCCAGCAGTACAGACTCCGGCTTCAAATCTAAGCCCATGTCAGTATGCTGTGGACCGGCCAGTATGAACGACCACATACCAAAGACTCAATGGTAGCCATAATACAGAAGACCTTATTGTCCTGCAGTGGATGCCTTTTTAAAAGTCAAAAACAAAGGGCATAACATTTTTCTGAGGAACCATTTCCATTTTGAAAATGACAAAACTGCAGACTTTATTATATTTTGGGTTCAAGAGGACATTCTTTATGAATTGCTCAGAGGAAGACAGTGTTTCCAATCCAAAGAAAAACTGAATTCCAAGATCTTGAGTACTCTTGGTTCACAAGGCAAGCTGTTTCATTGTTGTGCAGTTTTGATTGAACAGAAAGTTGTCAGGCTCCCCTTATTTTGTACAGTTTACCTAAACTAGAGACGTAAAATATGTAATAGGTTATTTCAATGCAAAAAAAGTCACCAAGTCTACTTATTTATCACAAGGAAAATCCAAACAGCCAACAGTACTGAGCAACAAATGCTGCAAATATATGCAAATATACGCATGACTGTGGCATGATTGTCCAATGGGGAGCCACAAATGTAATCTAAGAAAATAGGATGTATATATATTATATAAAGTATAAGATGAACCTTTTTTCTTGTTTTTGTATGTGGATTTATCTATAAAATAGAATTTAAACATAAGGCGATGCATGTCCTGGTTGAAGCAGACTCCCACAGCATTTTTGGCAATGATGTTTTGCAAGCCTGCTTCAGATACTTTGAAAGTGTAACTTTTAATAATGGTCATTTTTCTTTCAACAAGCTTCAGTGCCGCTCTGTCTTTTTCTCCCCGAGTTCCATTTGAAACACACAAAAAAAAAATAAAATAAATGTTGCAGAGATCAGTTTCTGATTTGTAATTTTTATAAACATGTTTTTTGGGTTTCATGTTCACATTATTTTAGCACTTGCTGTTTATGTAATAATAAAGGCATATTTGAAAGAAGTATAACAGCTAGTTATATACTGTATATTCTATTTATCTCAAAATCTCAATATTTTAAAATCTATCTATCTATCTATCTATCTATCTATCTATCTATCTATCTATCTATTATCTATTTCTATTAAAGTGTTACTAAACCCAGGACCCAGAATTCACTATATTTGGTCTTCCACAGTACACAGAACATGGAAATGCAATTATTTTATTAAATATAAACTGCTAAATATCTTTTCTCATCAGTAATCAGAGAAGTCTTGTGACTTCTATCAGTGTCCAGCTGAGCACATGTTAAAGCTTGTAGGAGGAGTTTTCATTTTGCTCTAGGAGGATGCAGAAACCCTGACCTCCATCTGGACAGTGCTGATTGGCCCTGTGCTGATCACATGCACTCTCCCAAGAAAAAAAAACATCTCTAGCAATACACACCAAACTGAGCATGTGCAGAGTGTCTGCACACGATATGTCTGATCAGAAGATAAGAGAGGGGGGCACTGGAAGAAGGGGAGGATCAGACAAGTCAGGATCAAACAGTGTTTTTACACAATGAAGAGAATTAACCCCTTAGGTTCCACAGTAGATATAACAAGCATGCTTTACTGCATATACAGACTGATTTTACTGTTTTGGGTTTAGTAACACTTTAACATTAGATGTAGCTTGCGCATTGTCATGGTCCTAAAGTAGAACTGTGCAAATGGCATCTCTTTGACATGGGGATATCCATGGTATTGAGCAGTGTCAGAATAGGCAAGTAAATATGCTCCTCTTTTATCATTTCTAAAAGGTGTTGCATGAGGGCCAGATTTCATGAATGTCTAATTCTGTGTGCTCATTTGGCAGCTGTTTTTCGTAAGAAAAATAATAGATTATTTAGCATATGTGCATTGAAACAAACTATTTTAAAACAATGATTTTTGGACATGACACATTCAAATGAGCTCTATTCACAGAGTAAAACTTTTTCAAACAGCAGATCTATATTCTGAATATAGCAATTATTAGGCATCCTTTTAGGACATATTAGGCTAATATTAGTCGCTTTTCTAAAAATAGACTGACCTTACACTGCTCAATTGATGAAGGTCAAATAAAACCCACTAAAATACGGAATGTAGAAAACAGGTGTGGAGTGCTGGATCTCAGTCATGTTTTAAGCAGTGAGAAATGATACTCCTTAGGAAGGTATCTCAAAGGTGGGTGTGCAAGGAGGGAAGTGCTAAAACCAGAACATATAAATTCCAGATTCAATTCTATTCTGATTCTTATGTCCTAACATTCCAACGTGTTTCGGGGGTTCAAAGGATCCCCGCCCATCAGGGCTTGCTACTGCTGAACAAAGGGTGTACTGCACTGATAAAATTGGATCTGCCGTGATTATTAGTATAATCACGGCAGATGCCATTTAAGAAAGTAGTCCTAGTAGCACATGAGTGTGAAACAGTGGATTAAACAGTGGATTTGGTATTTACTCGCTTTTTAAGCTTTACATACAGTACTTTTTTCTCAGGCTTGCTCTTCAGCTTGAGAGTTAAGGGTCAGAGATGATTTGAGGTCTCATTGCCTGACCTCTTGGATTTGTTAGAGCGCATTACTGTCAGATAGTCCCAGAGGTGTTCGAACGGTTATATTTGCTTTAGTATTTTATTCTGTTACGCCCTCTCAGAAAATTCTATGCGTACAGACCATTTACTTTGCAAAGTGATTTTTAGCAAATTGAAGCTTTGAATACCCAATCATATGCTAGAAAAAAAAAATTTCCTTTGCACATAATAGGGTATTCAAAGTCAAAAGCTGATTCACTAACATACATTTTGCAAAGTGACCAGCCTCTACTACACTTGTGTGAGGTCAGGTAGTTAACTGAATAAAGTATAGTTGGATACAGGGTTAAAAACCTCTTCCATGAATAAGCTTGCACATTTCTATTAACTAAAGATTGAACCAGGGGCGGACTGATAACTCATGGGGCCCCCGGGCAATAGGGGCCCTGTGTCCTTGCCCAAACACAAAAAAGCCTATGACAAAGGTACCAGGGGCATCTCATGGGACCCCCTACTGACCCCGGGCCCTCGGGCAGTGCCCGAGTTTCCAAATGGTCAGTCCGCCCCTGAATTGAACATTGAAATTCTTGCATTACTTAAATCATGGCTGGTTTTCCTTAATGTCAACCGACATGTAAATGTAAAAGATTCCAATTCACAGACAAAACAACAGGGACTTCAATTATGAACTCTATTCTTTAATTAATGTTTTTATACTGACTTATACTGACTTTGGTCTAATTTTTACAGTTTTTTTTTAATAAAAAATAATATTTTATAACATTGTGTCTGTGAGCTACCTTCGAATATATAGGTAAATTCCATGTTGTTTTGTCTTTGAATTGGCATATTTAGGCGTTGGGGATGATATCTCTGTTGTTTCTTATAGCTAGGTCTATACCAACATCCCAACTCTACTATTTATAGCAAATGTAAAAGACCTGGCTAAAAGTGAATGCCAGATGACTGCTATCACCTTTATGAGCAAGAAAAGCCTATGTGCCCCTGTCTGATTAAGTTTCACAATGGTACTTGTGGTCAACTTTCCCTGACTTCATGGCTAAACTCTACCTTCTGTCCAATGACAGTTCCCTTACAAGCTACCAAGGTTATCTCACCGGACATGGACCCAAAGAATGGCATTTGGCAGAGCTTAGCTCAGGGAAAGTCAGGCCCAGGTAACAAAGTAATACTAAATCAGGAGGGTACTGGGGTACAGAAAGCTCCTGCTTGTATGCCTTCTTGGTGCCTAATGTTTATATCAGTGATGCATTTATCTATCAAAGCGTATGCAGATTAAACACCTACTTATTCTTTTGTTCAGCTAGAAGAAAGGCTATTTCAGTATAATGTTGTTTGCTACTGTCATCATGGTGAGAAATGTGAAGAATATTTACGAGAAGAATCTCCTTTTTAAGTGGTTTTATTTTCAGCTGATTGCCATGTTGCACCTCATCACCATTCAATTATGACATACTGTAAATACTGCAGGGCATGAATAGCATAGTGTTCTTATTAACTCCAATCATAGCCTAGTTGTCCACTGTAACAGACTGCCACCATATTAATTAAGAGTGTTTTGTATAAATGTTTCAAATATATTCAGTCAGATAACCTTGTGAAATACATTTTTTAATGATTGTTATTAAGTATTTAGCGGTCCTTAAACAATGTAAAATTTTTCCTGCATTATACAAAAAACATGAACTATTTGTACAATTACTGACTCTAAACTGCCTAGAGATAGCAGCATTTAAAAGTCATATCGTGACAGTAAACTGTACTTTTCAAAGTGCACTTTAAAAAGTTAACATAGAATAATAATGATAACCAAATACAGCTTTTTTTTTTTTTTTATTAACATTTACCCTTTTGCTTTTAGTAGAAAAAAGTGCTGCATGTGAGTGTAAAAGAAAGATTAGTGTCTTGAGACATTGGGGTTGATTTACTAAAGATAAATAGGATGTTCACTTTGCAAGTGTAGTTGCATTTAGGTGTACGTTTATCAAGCAGTAGTAAATGACCGCCACTATGTTCTCTGGCATGCTCAGAGGAGACAGCTCTCCTGTGAGTGCCTGTTTATGAAGTGGTGTAGACCGCTTCTCCTGGTGAGGAAAGAAGAGATCTACAAACGTTTTGAACTCTGGAAAATGGCTTTTGTTGCTGTAATCTCGCGAGATCTAGTGAGATTACAGTAACAAGAGATCAGTAAAACACACAGCTGTCAGTTTATTAAGCAGCGGTAAATTACCTCTGCTGAGGTGGCGGTTCTCCTCAGTACACACATACACAATAATAAAAAAATTTATATATATATATATATATATATATACATACACATATATATGCACAAATAATACACCCACACATATATATATATATATATTTATCCACACACGCAAACATATATACACACACATATATATATATATATATGTGCGTGCACACAGACACAACACATATACAGTTGTGCTCAAAAGTTTGCATACCCGGGCAGAAATTGTGAAATTTTGGCATTGATATTGAAAATATGACTGATCATGCCAAAAAATGCTCTTTTATTGAAGGATGATGATCATATGAAGCCATTTGTTACCAAATAGTTGTTTAGCTCCTTTTTAAATCATAATGGTAACAGAAATCACTCAAATGGCCATGATCAAAAGTTTACATACCCTGGAATGCTTGGCCTTGGTACAGACACACAAGGTGACACACACGCGTTAAAATGCCAATTAAAGGTTAATGTCCCACATCTGTGGCTTTTTAAATGGCAATTAGTGTCAGTGTATAAATAGTCAATGAGTTTGTTAGCTCTTACGTGTAAGCACTGACTAGGCTAGATACTGAGCCATGGGGATCAGAAAAGAACTGTCAAAAGTCCTGCGTAACAAGGTAATGTAACTTTATAAAGATGGAAAAGGACATAAAAAGATATCCAAAGCCTTGAATATGCCAATCAGTACTGTTAAATCACCTATTAAGAAGTGGAAAGTTTGGGGATCTCTTGATACCAAGCCAAGTACAGGTAGACCAAGAAAGATTGCAGCCACAACTGCCAGAAGAATTGTTTGGGATACAAAGGGAAACCCATAGGTACCCACAAGTAAAATACAGGCTGCTCTGGAAAAAGACAGTGTGGTTTTGAAGGAGCACAATATGATGACACTTGAACAAAAATGAGCTGCATGGTCGAGGTGCCAGAAAGAAGCCTTTACTGCATCAATGACACAAAAAGGCCTGGTTAGGCATGTCAGGCTGTTGTCAGGCATATTGTAACTGGGCTTTTTTGTGGCATTGGTGCAGTAAAAGCTTCTTTCTGGCACCTCGTCCAAACAGCTAATTTGTGTTCAAGTATTGTACTCCTTAAAAACTACCACACCATCTTTTTCCAGAGCAGCCTGTATTTTTTTTAGGTTTCCTGTGGGTTTTTAATTGAATCCCGGACAATTCTTCTGTCAGTTATGGCTGCAATCTTTCTTGGTCTACCTGACCTTGGCTTGGTATGAAGAGATCCCTGAACTCTCCAGTTCTTAATAGGTGATTTAACAGTACTGATTGGCATATTCAAGGCTTTGGACATCTTTTTATGTCCTTTTTCATCTTTATAAAGTTCCATTACCTTGTGACGCAGGACTTTTTACAGTTCTTTTCTGATCCCCATGGCTCAGTATCTAGCCTAGTCAGTGCTTCTACATAACAAACCCATTGACTATTTATACACTGACACTAATTGCAATTTAAAAAGCCACAGATATGGGACATGAACCTCTAATTGGCATTTTAACCCGTGTGTATCACCTTGTGTGCATATATATTTACAAACTGCACTAGGGTTTTGGGGGTGTTGTGAAAGGTGGGGGGCTTTCCCACTGTCTTGGAGGCTCTGAAGGAAGAAGAAGAAAGTCCAAAAATGTCTTCTTTCCTCCTCAGAACTCCAGCGATTCTCCTTTCTCTCCCCAATTCTCTACCTGTGGGCTGGAGAATCTGGGAGGGAGAATTTTCACACAGATCACCAGTGAAGGCCTGACATTGCTCCTTCATAAACTGGCCGTTTCTGTGTCTGATAGCAGATTCTCTGTGTGTAAAGAATATCAGCAGAGAACATGTTCTCTGCTGATCTTCTCTGTTTCATAAACCACCAATGTACTGAAATCAGCAGCTGCTGATCTCAGTTTCATAAATAGACACCTTGCTTGTACATGATTGGATGATGGAAGTCAGCAGAGCTTCACTTTATTCACTAAGCTCTGAGGACAATTCCCTTGCAAAATGCAACCTCCCTTACACAGTGAACAGTCTATTTGACTTTAGTAAATCAACCCCATTGTGTTTGTAAACTCTATATTTATATTGTACACGTGGGAGAATGCAAGCAAGAACCTATCTCAAGATCAATTACGATTTCCTGCGTTGAGGACATGGAATGATTCATAAATACCTTTGTATAAGAAAATGACAAAACTGGTATGACAAGTATTGGTATCATAGGAGGTCATTAAGAATTCATGGATACAGCTTTGAAGTTAAATAGGAAGCTATTTTTTGTCCTAATCTAATATGAATTACAATTCACATCACTAAACTGTGAGACAAAAACAATACAAAAGTGCTGCAACATAATGTACAGAATATAGTTATACGTCCTGTATGTAATGGGATCTCTTCAGTTGTACACATGAGAATCTTTATCCAGAAAGATTTGAGCCCCAAAAACATAAATGGTCTCTGGGGTAAGAAAGTAAGGGGGAATCTCCCCAATGGGGACACAGACAGCAATAAAACTTGAAAGAAAATCTAATCCTTCCCTACGCTATCCAAAACGTGAAAATAATCTATTTTAGCATTACACAGATACACATATGTAGCTAACTGTTTGTTAAGACAAGGAATCCTAGTTCACACATATTGGAATATACAGGCCTGCTAAACTGAATTAAATCATAGTGATCTCCTGACTAGTTGGTCCCTACAGTCTCTAGTTTTCAACATGAAATATTTACTAGACATACTGTATGTCTATCTCTTAAGCCTCTGTGCAGTAAAACTTTCCAGGGATCTGGGAAGCAGTAAATGGCACATGCCTTAACATGCATAGACTTACACAGCCTATTTTAGGTAATCCATGACAATACTCATCATGAATACCTCTGGCATCAGGATGTCTATAGCATTTTGTCCTATAAACTTTTTTGTACATTCCTTGAACATTCAGTAAACTCTTTTTGACTGGAAGATGTATGTGACTCACATAATCAAGTTTTCTTTTTCCTTCAGTAATTCCTCATAGAACAAGTGACATACAATGTCTGTATACTGTACTATCGCATCTTTGACTACTTAAAGAATTTCACTCTAACTTTCCTGAACGTAGCTTAACAGGAGTAAAGAACTAGAATACATTAGTAACCGAATATTGATTTTTTTTTTTCATACATTTTATGTTAGTATTTGAAAAAGTGATTTGTAAGAGTGAACAACTGTATAATACCTTGTCAGCATGATTATGAATTATTTCAATATCTAGTTTTCAAGAATTATTTGAGCTGAGTATAAAGAATTTTTTATTGAGATAAGAGAAAAATGAAACCAAGTTATTTATTTATTTCAGGTACTTATATAGCGTCATCAATTTACACAGTGCTTTACACATATATATTGTACATTCACATCAGTCCCTAATCCTCAAGGGGCGTACAATCTAAGGTCCCTAACTTACATTCATACATACACATATTAGGGCCAATTTAGACAGGATCCAATTAACCTACCAGCATGTCTTTGGAGTGTTGGAGGAAACCGGAGTACCCAGAGGAAACCCATGCAGGCACAGGGAGAACATGCAAACTCCAGGCTCAACCAAGATTGCATTTTTGTAGCAGTAAAATGGAGACTAAAGGCCAAATTATGACAAAAAAAGGTTGTTTGAGCATTTGTTAAATAGAAATACCAGTTATGTGAGAGAGGATGACAATGTTAGAAAACAAATGGAAATATACTGAATATAATATTAAATAAACATTTGATGAACTTCCTGTTTGCCTAAGGAGAATGCAGGAATTTATTGTATGTTCTTTGCATTTAAAGAATTCTAATTTTAATGTCTTTAAAACAGAATTGTTATCCTGACTTATACAAAGTAATGTAAGGATCTGTTCTTTTCTCTGTAATTTGTAAATGCTGTGGCTTTGTATTTATCATAGAATTAGTTGGTAACAGACAGGCACATCCGGCTTGAAGGTGAACTTGTACATTCTGTCCCTGCTAGCTGGGTCAGAAACCCCAGACTGGAGGACAGTGATATATTTATTCATGAGGGTTTCTGAGAAGTGCATACAGAATTGTTCTACATTATCTTACACAAAAAAAGAGGGGGGGGGGGTCACTGCTGCTGTGCATTTAATCCAGACCAGAACCAGAGACTATAAGGAAACTGGTTCTCCTAGCTACCTACAGGTTTAGTGCTGTAGCCTGTTTGGGGAGGGCCATTTCCCATAACTTCCTGCTCCCCCAACTCCCCTCAATAGAAAGACTAATGCTACAGTACCAAATGATGAGCAGGCAATCATCTTACAGTCCAAATGAGCAGGCACTTTGTTCAAGGTCTTTATTGGAGGAAATCATAAATGCTAGATAAACGCCTGCTATCCATTACACCATTATTCAGAGAGGGCTAGAAGTGGGCAAACAAGCTGAGGGATTTTAATCTTTAGGGGTGGCCTGATAATGCAAGCTGTCTAGACATAAAGCATTCTTCCTGAGGAAGGTATAGTGTCAAACGTACAATACAGATGAATGTCATTCAGAATAGACGGTTGTTGCTCAGCTCAGAAATCATTGTCATGTTTAATCCCCAATACATCAGGGGTTAGAACAATATGGATGAAACTGTGACGTATAAGGAAACTTGGAAATCCAGAGGAACGAGATTCAAACACATAACTCAAGGCCATTCTAAAGAACATAAAAGTGGCTGTACACTGCATTTCTTTGGCTCCAAAGTGTCTGTTCATAGACATGAATTGCTCAAGGTGGCCATGTAGACGTGCCAAGTCTTTTTATGTGAGAACAATCAGACCTGTGGAAGATCCATAATTCTACCTACCTGCACCCATTCAAAGCAACACAAAAACAGTATGTATATATTAAATAATAATGCTTCATAATTTTAAACATGCCAGGTTACTAGCAATAGCAATTTCCAACTGTAGCCATTTGGGCATTGACACAGCAATGTTGCATGATCCTGTCATCATGCTCATCAACGTACAGCTTTAATCTATGCTTTGAAATATATCTACACTTTTACAAACCATTATATACAGTTGCAAGAAAAAGTATGTGAACCCCTTGACATGTTATGTGCAATTAAATAATGGCAACATCTAATGTTTGTGTAGTATTATGTTCAGCAGACTGTGTTCTTCTATTGTTGTGACTTAGATGACGTTCAGAGCACATTTTTTGCCCAATTCATGCAAAACTCCACGTAATCCCAAGGGGTTCACATACTTTTTCTTGCAACTGAATTTGTACTTGTCCCTGCAGACTATAAAATTGGCAGTATGACGTGTTGCCTTTTCTGAATCTAATCCAGCTACCATGGGCGGACTGACAACTCATGGGGCCCCCGGGCAATAGGGGATCATGGGGCCCCTGTGTCTTTTACCAAACTCAAAAAAGCCTATGAAAAAGGTACCAGGGGCATCTCATGGGGCCCCCTACTGACCCCGGGCCTTCGGGCAGTGCCCGAGTTTCAAAATGGTCAGTCCGCCCCTGCCAGCTACATGACCTGAGCTCTGCATTTGCACCTATATTTCGCAGTTCATGGCCACCAATACTATAGAAAGGAGACCTGCTCTGCATTGAGCTGAATGAACAAAGAGCATGTAGAATATACTCAATGACAGTAAGCTGGTGGCAGTATTACTGGAAACAGGAATTATTTTCTGTAAAGCTAATATATTTACATTGTTTTCAGAGGCTCAGAAACAAGTATTGTTTACAATTTTTAGTCAAAGTGTAGTTATACTTGAAAAAAATTAAAGGAAAAATGTTTTTAACATTTGGATAGAGTAATGGAGGGCGAAAACGCTGTCAGTTTTTTTTTGCCATCAACTGTATGTTCCATTGGAAAGATTTCCCTCCACTTCTTGCCCTATAGCCAGAACAGGAAGTGGTAGGAAATCTCTCCAAAGTGAGGGAATCTCGGGTTGTCACCTGTCTATTCTGTCTATTCTTGTTCTATTCTCTATTCCTGTTCAGGTGACAAACAAAAATTGGGATTTTTTTTTTCTTTTACTCTTGGAGATATATGGTAAACAGGACAAATAAAGAGGGGAGATCTCTCCAACAGGCAGTAGTCATGCCTTCTAATCCCTCTCCACTCCACTGTCCAAAATGCAAAAAAAAGTTTTGAATTTACTTATACTTTAAATGTAGACTTTTAAAGTGCAGGAGTTCTAAGTTCACTCTCACCACTGAAAAAAGGCTATTAATTTTTTAAACATCGCAGAATTTCCTGATACTCTATAAATTAATAAAATAACAAAGCAAAAGTAAATGATGATCCATTTTTTAACAATCTGTGTTCTTTATACTGTTATATTTCTAACATGTTTGTAAGTGCAGCATATGTCATTTTTGATTGAGGTTATAGCTCTTCTTAGATTAACACAATAAGTATGCAGTATTCAACTGTTTGCTTTTCAATGGTTGATATCCACAATTTTATTTTTCCTTAGATCACCATTGATGAGGATACTTTGAATAGATATAGTGCAAGTCCAAGAAATACACATTTTAAACACATACTGTATATAAGAAATGATCTACATGATAAAAGAAAGGATTATGATGTAATGACTATACCATGGTGACCACTGTCTGCTGAGGGTCATTATAGCTGATCTGCATAACAAAGATTTTAAGAGTATACAATTCTGCATCTTGTGAACCATGTGAAGAATCAGTTATTGTTACTACATTGTTGAAAGCCATCCTGAGTTTTCTTTCAACTGTAACTTCTCCTTGGCTTCTCTACCCCCTGGCCCCGCTGCAAGCCTTAATCTAGCTATTTTTTTTTTAAATTTTGCGTAGAGTGGGAAAGTGTTAGAACTTTAAGCAGATTTTAAATGTTATCCTGTCTCTACCTTGAGGACATTTTCTCTCACCTATTGTTTGACATCCATCACTGGGAAAGGAAGTGAGTATAAATCTTCCTCATAGGGCTACGTAAGTAATACCATTTTTCAGAACATCTAAACCTCACTCATTTCAAAAAATGAATTGTATTACTAGTGTTCTTGTTAAAGGAATTTCTCATGCTTGGTAGTAATGATTGTTGATCTTGTCATCTCCCTGAAATCTTCTGGTTTGTTCATGTTGTTGTCAGTCAAGCCCTGATGAAGAGGCACTTAGATCCCCAAAACACGTTGTCTACCCCTTGAATTGTACCCCTGACTTTAATGGAATTCGATCCTGCATCTTCTGCACTGCCACTCTCACTGAGCATTGTCTTGTTTTCTCCTGGGGGGAAGCAGTGCAATTTTATTCTCTTTTGGAAAGCGCTCCAGGTGACACACTTTATCGGATTGCAGAGTGACTGTAGCAGGGTGATTGACTCCACCTCCATCATTGTAAACGTGATCATGTTTTATTTTATATAAGCTGTTATTTGCAATGCCAAAGAATTGCTTCAATGTATTTTATTTATTTATGATTGATATTAAAATGTATTTGTTTTACTATAACTCCACATGATCGTAAGAGCCTCAGGCAAAGGAAGTGAACTTCCTTCAATGATGTCTGCAGGTCATGTCACGGGCTGCCTCTTAGCGTCACCCACCGAACTACAGAGCAGTGTAGCGTAAGCTGGGAAATAACACATGACTACGATATGGAATATACACAGCCATGCAAAGCAGTGTGCAGGAGCTGACAGGGAAGAGAACTGTTTTGTTTACAAACAGCTCTCTCCCCCCGTCGGAGATGCTCGGCAATCACCGAGCACCGGCAAGTAATCACCAGCCAGGACCCAGTGATTGACAGTTGAGGCTGCGAATGGTGGCACGGGTAGGGCTTGCGCATGGCTCACGTGCGCCCCCTACCCGGAAATGCAAAATCACATATATATATTGTGACAGGATGAACGGCGAGGTGATAGAGGGACGCTATGTGTCACCTCGCATATGCTCATACCTGACAGTTTAGGTGGAGTCCACTCCGGGTTTTCGGGGCCACAGTTAAGCAGGTGGGTCCGGACCAGAGTTTGGGCTCCACTGATGACCACCAACAGGTGGTATAAAAAGGGCAGGGCTGGAGCAAGGAGTCGCTCGTGGCCTGGGACTCAGAGAGGTATTCTGAGAGAGCTGTGTGTGTACTATACCTACAAGAAAAGGTTTGCGTTTGTTTTGTTTTTGGTGACAGGGAGAAGCCCTTCACCTCTGAGAGAGGAACATCTTCTGTTTAGTTAGTGCCTGGATGGCAAGGGTTTATTTTGATGTTTTGTTTATTTTGATATTTTCTGCAAACCTTTTTAAATAAAACTGACAACCAGTCAGATTTTGACGAAAGCCTGCTGTGCGGCCTACCTTTTTCCCAGGGAAGGAGATCCCCCACCTGAGCTAACCCCACAATATATATATACGTGATTTTGCGCATCTGTGCGGCCCTATAGCAGTACTTCTGCGGTTAAGCTTTTAATCATTTATGGAAATCCTTTATCCCAAAAGGAAAAAAAAATTGTTTGCTGTAACTTCTTATCAAGCGTTAGCTGAAGTTCAGCTTCAATTTGTTGATAAAGTCTAAATCTGCTAGTCTAACAATACCCTCCTCCAAGACTGGCAATGCTGTTGTTCAAAGATGTCTGGTTTACTTCTTCATCCAGATTGCAGACACCCTAAGACAGGAGGTGTGATAAAACAAGAACTATACAATAAACAAAGTGAATGTATAACCATACCTTTTTTAGTGTTGGCTATGGTAGGAAAGGGTTAGACACCTGTCAAATCATTATTGCTGTCTGTGGTGAACGTTAGGTAAAGTCACCTTCTAGATTTCTCCTTGTGTCTATTATGACTATGGCAGAAAGTGATAATAAGTCCAACATGTTATACTTGTCACCAGAACAAGAAGTAAGGGGAACCTTAAAAAGGAGACCTCAATTCTGGTGAAAACTGTCCAAAGAGGAATTTCCTTTTCTTACAGAGATTTCCTTTCACTTTCTGTTGTATGTCTTGGACAGGAAGGAAGAGAAATCTCCGCAGCAGGGCCCAGACAGCAGAAAATAAACTGACAGGGTGTTAACCTTTGCTTTCTCTACCCAAAATAAAAATTATTAGTTATACTTAGGGCTTTTTTTCTCAGAGAATAGGTACAGGAACTCAATTATACCCCACAACCACCACCCCACACACACAACCACCAAACTGCATCAAATAATAAGTGTGGCCAAATTTCACTAACAGTGGTTAGTGAATAATTCTGCAATACAATCACAAAACACACTTCCCATAAACTGAAGTTACAATATGCTTGCAAACATGTCTCTGACAAATTCATACAATGAACACATTTCTTACAAACAGCTACCTACAAGTTACATTAAATATATTGAAGAGAGATCTATATATACATATATATATATATATATATATATATATATATAACTTTGACAAACTCAATGATAGAACTTTCAGGCAAATGTGTATCAAAGGGAGGAAGGATGCCTTTATTGGTGTGTCCTTCTAGAAGCTAAAATGGCTCTGGACTGATGTGTAAGTGAAAAGAATAGACTGCAAATGTAGTGAATTCCCAATAGATGGCTCCCTACTTAACACAATGATGAGAAAACCGAACAGTAGAAGTGTTTTAAAGGGGCATTAAATACCAATATATACAGAGTGCAGAGTTCAGGAGTGAACTACACACAGAGTGCAGCGGTCAGGGGTGCGCTATGTCAGATTTCAGATTCCAGGGGTTCGCTATGTACAGAGTTCAGAGTTCACGGGTGTGATATGTACAGAATGCAGAGTTCAGGGGTGCATTACACACAGAGTGCACAGTTCAGGGATGTGCTAAGTACAGAGTGCAGAGTTCAGAGATGCGCTACACGCAAAGTGCAGAGTTCAGAATTCATAAGTGCATTACACACAGAGTGCAGAGTTCAAGGGTGCAATACACACAGAGTGCAAATTTCAGCCCTCTTCCACAGCTGCTAACCTCTGCATCTCCCATATACTTCTCACTTTCACCCCTCCTCAGCTCTGACATCTGCACACAACACCCCCTCCACTGCCCTCACCTTCTCCCTCCTCCTGAATAGCTCCACCAACTTCAATGTGTCTTACCTTTGTTGTATTATTATATTATTATTATTATACAGTATTTATATAGCACCAAACGGTATGCTCAGTGCTGTACAGTAGCTGAGGGGGACAGAACATGAGACAAGACAGTAACAATACAATACACGAAGGGTTCGAGGGCCCTGCTCTTTCGAGCTTACAATCTAGGAGGAAGGGGAAAGTGGTACAGGAGGAAATGGCTGTGGGCGATGGAGTGGTGGGAGGAGTGGAGGAGGTTAGTTGTTAGGTGAGGTCAGGTGTTAGGTGAGGTTGGGGTAGGCTTCCCTGAAGAGGTGGGTTTTCAGGGTGCGCCTGAAGGTGAGGAGGGTAGGTGACAGTCT